AAAGCCCGATCCAAGAAGAAAACAAAACAGAAAATTACTTTTTTTTTGGTTTGAATTCCTTATTTGGCCTTTGAACAAAATATGTAAAAAGAAAAAACAGAAATACATTTTTAATATTAATAATTTATTACTATGCGATAAGTCAAGATTATTTTTTTGTGTAGTCTTCTGCCCCCTGTTATCAGGTGTATCTGATTGTGTACAATAAGATTTTGAGCAAAGTTTTTACCATTAAATTATGCAAAAGGTGTCAGACGTAAAACATTTCAGAAACCGTACGTATCAAATATGATACATTTGGCATTATAGGGTTAAAGACGGGCTGACAGCTGTAATTAGAGCACATCTGGTTTCACAACAGCCCCTAGCTGATGCCCTTTGGGAGTTTTTCCTGCAGGCAGTTGTATTTTGTACGTTTCAAATTGGAGCATAATCACATAATTGGTTTTTATGAATAGTGAACATTTACTGGAAATCTGAACCAAAAGGTCAGGAAATGCCTGTCAGAGGTATAATGCATGTCATTGGGATGAGAAGCTCAAACCTCAGTGGTTTTTTCCTTCTCTTCCTCCATAAATCTCTCAAGCTCCCACCTTAATTTTGCCTCTATTTAATCTAGATTGTTTCTCTTTTGCTCCTTTCTACTGGACCTGTCGGGTCTCTGGTTAGCCAGATCCTGATCCTGATCTCCTTTCTTGTTTCTGAGAACCCGACTTTTCCGCTCTTACTTTCCTCATTTTGTGTCCACGTGCACAGGAGTTTATTTGGACCTACGAGAGTCTAATGAGTTAGTGGCACGGCAAATATGTGATGAGCTGTATTTGTGGAAACAGCTAACCGACTCCATGAGTGCAAAAAATGCCAAAAAACGTAATTTAGACGTCAGACATAGAGGAAATTAAACAAGTAGACCACTCAGAGAACAAAACCAGAGACCTGGCATGTAGCTCGAAGCCTATTTTAGAGGAAAATAGACACAGATTTGAGTGTGTTTTCAGACAGGGTGTTGTTAGAATTGGGATATAATTACTCACTTAAGCACAGTATGTTATAACTTAATCCATGTAAATGACGGATTGTCTTATTCCTTTTTAGATTTATATTGTTCCCTTTATAATGATACTTTTGTTTTAAACCCTCTGGCTGTGTCTACTCCTCCTCTCTGTTACAGTATATACACTTTTTTATCACATTCCACTGAAACCTGCATGAATTAGGACCTGGCCTATTCATGTCAGAGCTAACTGGCCAATAACACTCGGTTACGTCCAGCCGTCCTCCTGATAAATGTCCATCACGCCTGGAAATGGAGGCTCTTTGCTAACTTTGATCCTCCGGGAACTTTTGTCTGTTAGAGCCCAGCTGATTTACTTGATTTGCTGACCAATAAATGTCCTATTTGTACTTTTGATCTGCTCTGGTTTATTCTCAGGCTTCTAGTTAAAGAATCAAGCTAACAGTGTGAATGGCTGTTGGTACTATAATACCAAATGTGTCATATTTGATTCATACCGTTTCTGAAGTCTTTTGGATCTGAGACTTTTTGCATCATTCAGCGGTAAAAGCTTTGCTCAAACCCCTGTTGTACACATTCAGATATACCTGATAAAAGCCAGTAGAAGACTACACTACACTAACATATGTTTTTGAATTATTGCATGCTAATTTGATCAAAATAATTTCTGTTTTTTTTTCTTCATATGTTTTGAGGGGCCAAAGAAAGACTTCAGATTAAAAAACAATCCAATATTTTTCCTATTTTTCTTGGATCAGGCTTTGAAAGGTTAGGGCAGGGCTGAGTCATCAGCCACTCCCTCAACGGAAAGCCCGCGTCTTACAAAGACCTCCGAAAAAAGCTATTATCACTGCTCTGTTTGGCAAAGGTAAAAGGGCAATGATGTTACAACACGACAGACATAACTGCACTGACCTGGAGCGCTGGAGCGTTGGAGGGTTGCTCTTCCACAGAAAAGGCGCCTCCTTACAACACAGGGCATTGCACAGTTTCACAGCATCTCTCACAAAGTGCACAGGAGAGCAGGATGAGGCTAAAAGCAGTACCAGGGAAAGCTAAAAGCAGTAACAGGGAAAGCTAATAGCAGTAACGGGGAAAGCTAAAAGCAATAACAGTGAAAGCTAAAAGCAATAACAGGGAAAGCTAAAAGCAGTAACAGGGAAAGCTAATAGCAGTACCAGGGTAAGCTAATAGCAGTAACAGGGAAAGCTAATAGCAGTCAAAGGGAAAGCTAATAGTAGTAACAGGGAAAGCTAAAAGCATTAACAGGGAAAGCTAATAGTAGTACCAGGGAAAGCTAATAGCAGTACCAGGGAAAGCTAATAGCAGT